GCCCCTCCTCACCCCATCTCAGGGTCAGGGGCTCGGGCAGCCCCTCGTGCTGCACATGGCACGTGTATCTCTGCTCCTCTCCACGGGGCACCACCAGGGCCGCCCACTTCTGGAAGGTCCCATCCCCCGCAGGCCTGGTCTCCACAAACTCCGTGTCCTGGGTCTGCTCCTCCCCATCACGCTGCCAGCTCAGGCTGATGTCCGCAGGGTAGAAGCCCAGGGCCCAGCACCTCAGGGTGACCTCACGGTCAGAGATGGGGTGGTGGGTCACGTGTGTCTTTGGAGGGTCTGAGGAGAAGGGGGAGGAAATTCAGGGACTTGGCACTATCAGGAGACCCTCCCACAGCCCTCATATGACCACCTGAGCGTGGACAGGGCACCTGGTGTGGGCGAGGGAGCACACAAGCACCACCAGCCTGGACAGAGCACCTGGGGATGACCTCTCCTCTTTAGAAAGTTCTAGTCAGAGTGACACACAGCCCAGGGCGGGAGGCAGGTCTCAGGGGGAGAAAGGGATTTCTGGTCCTGTCCTGGGTGGAGGCCAAAAGACTCAGAAAAGTCGGGGTCAGACCTCAGATACACTGGGTGAGGGGCAGGGAGCAGGGCCTGAGAGAGCAAGTCCCCCATGGGTCCCAGAGCCACTGCAGGGTCAATGGGAACCGCTGCTCAGTTCCTTCAGGCTTGGTCTCCCCTCTAATTGTCCCTGAGAGACTGCACCCCTCGGTGTCCCTGAGAGAAGGGCGGGCGTCACTGGATCTTAAAAGCCAGGTGGACTCAGTCTCCTGGCCCACAGGAGGGGGGTCTGACACTGACCCTGTGTCCTGTCTCCTTGTTGAGCCCCAGCCCCAGGGGAGAGGGGGGAGGCCCCAGGCCCCTGGTACCTGCGCGCTGCAGCACCTCCTTCCCCAGCGCCAGGAATCTGCGCAGCCACTCCAGGCAGTTCACCTCCAGTGCGCTCCTGATTCCCTCAGCCTCACCGGCCTCCTCCCACTTGCGCCGGGTGATCTGAGCTGCTGTGTTGGCCGCGGTCCAGGAGCGCAGGTCCTCGTTCAGGGCGATGTAGTCGGTGCCGTCGTAGGCGGACTGGAAATAACCGCGGAGGAGGCGGCCGTCCGGTCCCATGTCACAGCCCCGCATCCCCTGGAGTGTGTGAGACCCTGACCCGCCCCGAGGTCAGTGTCGCCCACTGAGCTGCGCCCCCGCCCAGCCCGTGGGGATTAAACAGAAACTGAAAGTGAAACCGGGTACAAGTCCCCGCGGGCTCCTCCGGGTGTGTGTGTGTGTGTGTGAAGCTTGTACCCGGACACTCGGGGCGACCCGGCCCGTCCGAGGGGATGGGGGTGGTGACCGACCCTGGCCCCTGGCTCACCGTCCTGGCTCTGGTTGTAGTAGCCCAGGGCGATCTGCAGGCTCGCTCGGAAATCCTGTGCGTAGGCCTTGGCGTTCCGGGTGCTCATGTCCCAATAGCTCGGCTCCACCTGCTCCATCCACGGCGCCCGCGGCTCC